CCTTCAGCTACGTTCTCCTCCCCTGTCAATGCAACTCATCCAAAAATCAAGACTTATTTCCTGAAAGGCCAATTCTTTTCTTAATCGGCAGGAAGCAACCTAGTCTCACTACAAGTCTCACAAGCAACCACTGCAAATGTTTTAAAGCTTGCTATAATGCCGCACTACATCTCTCCTACAAGCCTACATTTTCTCAGTTAACTGCATCCCTTCCTCTGCTGCTTCCTAGATATCTCCTGGATCCTTCTCTTGCACAAGGGCATTAAAAGCTTTCAAGGAAAGCAGGGAAAATAGAACAGTTCTCAGAGTCTCTCTCCAGCAGAAGCAGCTTAATATCTGGAGGCACTTTTTATGCACTCCGTAGCAAGAACAAGAGAATAATCACTGGTACTACCATTACAGGTACACATTTTAAGCTTAATCATATGCTTTCACTAAAGTGCTCTCTTAACAAGGTAAAGGGACGTTTTTCAGGAGCACAAATGGAATTAGATGCTCCCGTTCCCATTTGCTTTCAGTAGAAGCTCTGCCTCTGAAAATTTTGTACAATTTACATCTCTGCTAAAAAGTAAAGCCACCATGACATTCCAAAGTCAGGTGCTGACAGGATAAGTTAGTGAAGCATGAATTGGTGAGGATCTAAAGCAGGTCATGTCCTAAAACACCATATTTACTCTTGTTTTGTTGCAACTTCTGAGTCCTCTTAATGACCAAAGGAAGCTGCTGCTTGGGCAAGCTGCCTGCTGTAGTTTTTTTCTTTTTTAAATAAAAATATTAAGTGGCACCTTAGAAAATTAAACTCTTGCTCTGAGGCACCTCTTACCATTAGAGTCCTCCACTTCTTCAGTTGACAATGCGGGGTCTTGGTAGTGTCAGTGCTTTCCCATGCACTTTCAAGGAGTGCTCTTTCAGCTGGCTGATTGTCATGGTGGAAAATGAGCAGGAGGAACATTTGTAGGCATGTTCACCTGGGTGAGCGAAATACAGGCAAGTCATCAGCTCACAAAAGAAACAGAATGGGGCCCCCATACTCCTCCTACTGAACTTGGCAGTAAATTCCCATGGATTCCTTCAGCGTGAGACTGATCCCAAAGAGAATAACCTGTATGGGTGTCTCTGCTGCAGCAGTCTGCGGGTAAAAACACCTGCTTTGAACCAAACTATCACTTTCTGACAACTGCAGATCCTTGTCAAGTGACCGATGTCAAAAACATAGATCAGACTCTTAGCATGCCTGTGTTGCATGGTATGGGAAGAAAACAGATTCTGGGATGAAAATGGAGCCTTCGACTATAGCACTTCCAAACTTCTTTGGGAGCACAGCAGCTAAAGAGGGTGAAGTCATCCATTTTTGCATGCAGCACATCCAACATCGTCACTAACGAAGCAAGAAGGAGACTGCACAATGCTGCAAAAGGTTCCTCAAAAAAAAAAAAAAATTATTTGAGGAAAAGGTCATGTTTTCCTGATGTGAAACCTGCCATCAGGCAGGAATAATCTCCATAGAACTGGTAACCAACTCAAGGTTGGTTTACTACAAGAACTGGACACGACAATATCAAGGACACTGCATATTTGCAGGGCTATGTGACAGCATGTTATGGAGGAGTCTTGAAAGAAGTGAAAGAACAGAAGTAATGAACAGTAGTGAATTTAATTCCAAATACATTCCAAGCCATAAAGACAGAATACAAGGGAGAAACAAAACCCTGAGACAAGATTTGTTCGCATTAAGCCTCATAGATGCGACTGGAATACAAAGTGAAACGGTCCAACATAAACAGTGTGATATACAAATAACAAGTCATTGTTTTGGAAGTGCAACTTCCATGTGTAAGGATAACACTGGCCACACATGAGTTGTACATAAAGTGCCAAAACTAATACGGGAGTGAAATATTCATGAACAGCAATGGCAGACCAAGAGCTCTGTGTAATGAACAAGCAGAAAACGTCTTCCATTTCTCAACAAATTTAGCAATCAAGGCTCTCAAAACAGATTTGTTTCCAACACCAGCAATAAGCAAATCAAAAGAGAATGTGAAAATACAGGTACTGCAGCAAGTCAAAGTAAGCACACGTGAAAAGATTAGCGACAACCCTATATTAAAATAATTCCCATCCCTCTCTTCCAGAAAAACTGTGCTAATCATGGGGAGAAAATATGCACCCCTAGAAGCCTCTTTGGGTCATCTGAAAGACAACAGTGCACATGACAGGCTGCTTAATGGAACAGGATAATGCAAGGACAAAAGGTCTCCAACCTCGGAGATATTCAGAACCCAAGTGGACATGGTTTCGGGCAACCTGCTCTAACCAATCCTTCTGGAGCAGGGGGTTGGACCAGACGATCTCCAGAGGTCACTTCCAACCCCAACTATTCTGTGATTCTGTCAAAAAGAAACTCCAAGGTGTAATAGATATAAACCTTCACAATTTGTTTAAAAGATTCTGGGATGAGGGTAGGCACCAACTATTAGCTTAAAATTATAATAAGAAATTAAGCAAATAGAGGATCACAAATTAAGAAGTTTGGATAGAATTAGTAAACATACCCACTATTCAGCAGTAACAGTTCACGTGGACATCAGTATGAGAGAATGTGTTTGATTTCAGAGTCAAGGCTACGGTTTTACTCAACAGAAGGGTTTTTCACATTTTCAGTTGCTAGTTTTGCATTTCATAAAATAATGACATTAATATATGAATCAATATATCGCAACAATTTCCATGTGGGACTGTCTCAAAACCTGAGATCTCCCCAGAGCATTACGTTCCAGATTATGTAGAACCTCAGTAGGGCAAACACTCTGGCTTACTATCTAATTTGAGGTGAAAATAATTGACAGCACATTTAGAGATACTGTGAACTATTCTGCTCCATGCCACAGGAGATGGCATATACCGGATGAGAACAAATGCCAGAAACAGTGACCGGTACTAGCTGTTAGGAAAGAACACATTTCATAGTGAATGAAATTTGACCAGTCCTCAAAAGATGATGGAGACAGGCAGACTGAGTGAAAGACTCCAGGATTTAGCTGAACTTTAAAGACCCCCAGGAGACTTTACAAAAACTCAAGGGTATGCTGCAGGTTTCCACTTCTAAAAAAACCTGATAATGAGATGATTGATGAGAGAAAAAAAAAAAGTGGTAACAAAAGAAAGATTCAGAGAAACGCCATGTTACTAAAAGACTGGGGAGTCTGAGTAAAAGTACCCATAATGTGATTATTCAGTAGGATGTATTTCTGAAGGACTGACTGAAAACATAACAGAGCAAAACTCCTACAGAAAAGTATGCCAGCAATTTTCATGTGATATGAATATTTGTTTGGTAGAAATGGACCGAGGCAGAAACAGACCATAAAACCTTTTGGAAACCCTACTACACAAGTCATTGTGCGAAGCACTCCACGGGCTTCAGAAAGCAGCTATGAAATTGTGTTCTTGTATGATGCAAAACACAGGTCCACTAATCGAGTTCAAGGGCATGAATTTGTGATATATAAATCAATGACCTGCATGAAAAGGATTGTACAGTAAATATTAGCTGCGTGCTAGTTATGCCACTAAAATCTGAAAGATTCAAAAAAGGTAACACAGAGGAGCCCAACTGTACAACGACATAAGAGAAAAAATATATATATACGTTTGGCCAAGACAGAACATTGGCACCTCCATACAGCATCTGGAACTTCATAAACTGAAACTGTTGCATACAGATAGATTTCCTAGAAGAGAAAGAACGCCATACTCCCATACAGAAGGGGGCTACAAAAAATTAAGTTAATCCACAATACTCATCCAAGTACAGAAAAGGGTCCTGAAATAAAAGCTCTATCATCAAAAGATAAAGCATGCAAGTGTGAAACTTGAAATTAACATAGGAAATGCAGTACAGCATAGACTACCAATCCCTCCTGAAGTTTTACAGATGAGAAGTGCATTTGGATCAAGGGCCACAATTACCTTATCAGCCAACAGCTACAAATTCCTCCTGTCCCTCCTCCCCATTTTCCCTGTCTTCCTCCTCCCCTCCAACTTGAGCACACAATGTGGTAGAAACAAAAAGTAAGGAAAGGAATGTATTTCTAGCACCTTGTCATCTGTTCCAGTTTTTATTTGCACGTTGCAGTAATTGGACTAGTTTGCACTTTTTCTAGATTGCTCCATATTCTGCTATTTGCATGAGAACGCGTGTATGGACTGAGGTCGGGGGTGGTTGGTTTTTTTTTTTTTTTTTTTTTTTTAAATGGAAAAAGCCAAAAAAACAGTCTAGGGCCAAGGAATAAAGATCAGTCACCTACCAGGACATTTGTATCTCACATCTTTGAATAGTCAAAGGTGCAACACTTTGAGGTGACCTATCCTGTATGATGCATCACCTTCCCAATTCTGCTTCATCAGAAGCATGTTTGCTTGCTTGTATTTATTCTGTACTGCAAGATAGAGGTCTGCAAGACAGATGTCCACGTATAATAATGGAACCGTATCATTCTCACTCTGCTGCACACAGATCTGACTGCCAAAGTCTGCAGTGCTTGTTTTAACGTGAAAGCCACCATAAGATTCTATGAAACCAAGATGCAATCCTCGGTCCTTTCCCCAGAATCACCTAAAGCACAAACATAAATCAATATATAGTGGAATAAAGCTAGTACCAAACAGTTGAGACACCAATGGTATAAGTGGATTGATTGAACATTCTTAGAAACAAGCAAAAATAACAACAAAAATGCATTTAAATAAAAGGAAATAAGAGAAAGATGATCTCGAAGTACCCAACATTTATTTAAATTCTTGTCCTTGTAAAAACATTATCCAAATACCCACTGATTCCAAGAGGTGCAGAGGCTGGCCAATCATGACTCGTCTTTGAAAATCTTACCTAAATTTGGTGAGATAATGCGTGACCGAAATCAGCATCTCTGATCAGCAACAAGAATACATGGGCTATTTCAGCTGGCAGACTGCAAAATTGAGAGAGAGAAACTTACCAGCATGAGCTTTGAGTATATGGGTTTTCAGGCGGCTGTTATAAGAGGACTTGAACGGGCAGAGTTTGCAACGGAACGGCTTATGGTGTCCATGATGGGTCTGCATATGACGATCCAGACTGCAAAAGGAAAGGCAGAAAAAGGAGACACAAAATAGGAAATTATTTCAACTATTCCTTCAAATGCAGACCAAAATACTTGCAGCAATAATAAATTAAGTAAGAGGTAGATCAGGCTCATATATCCTTTCTCATACTATCTCTTAAAATTCAATAGGTCTACTTACAGAACAAAGCAGAATCTAATCTAAGGAAAATGAACAGAACTGACACGAATTTTGTTATGCAGAAAGCAAGCCACTTAAATAAACTCACAGGGAAAAAATACTGTAAATTAAATTACACCTGATTCAGACTTAAAAGACTAGTTGAAAGAAACATGAAACAGACAAGTACAGTAAAATTATCATCATAGATTTCTTTTCCTGGCAAATGTTTTCATGAAAATATGCCCCCTTTTGTCCTCTTGATAGGGGGGGAAAAAAAAAGAGAGAGAGAGAGAGACAGAGAGAGACTGAGAGAGAGACTGAGAGAGAGAGAGAGAGAGAGAGAGAGAGAGAGAGAGAGAGAGAGAGAGAGAGATATTTTTGACCAGCTTTACTGAGGAAGCCTTCTTTTGGTTACAGAAGCAAAAGCAGATTAGAGATCCTGCTCTGGGGAGGGTGCCAGCAGGCTGCAGTTGATGAGTTCCAGGATTAAAAGGCAGCAGTTTCAGACATAACAGAGTGGGAGATCCTGCACGAAGCTCAGCAAGAGAAGAAGGAGTGGCACAGACCAGCTTCTACTTTCTACAGGGGAACTGAAAGCTACCTCGATTCTGGGGGTGCTCAGAATCTGCTATCTGCACAGCTTCTCCTAACAGCTCAGTGAAATTTGGAAGGGAAGAAAGGGTGTTTTCCACAGTTTGTAAGACAATGTCAGATAGACTCCATCTGAGCAAGCCCTGCAGAGCTCTGCAGTTCCTATGCTGTGGCTGACAATCGTGAGTTCACAGTCTCCAGGAGGCAGGCAGCTAGCATCAGCTTGGGCTGCACAGAACTCCAGTACAGACTCTTCTTTGGAAACATTAATGCTCTGTGATCAATCTAGTCTTAGCCTCAGCCTCCTTATCCATGATGACAGAACAACAGCAAGGGTAAATACAACAGTTTGGAGGAGGGGTAGTTTATCAGAACTTAGTAACTCTAGACATACTTCAGTCTTGTTTCCTTTTACTTCACCTAAAATTGTCCTGTTCTTTTTAACTGAATATCAACATCTAGATCAAGAGCAGTCTGTTCCAGCCCTCTCACACTGTACAGATCATCACAGGATCTTTAGTCCCACACTGAAAGAGCTTGAGCCAGGAAATCCCTGTTTACCAGTGCTAACACTGAACTCTGTGTATTCAAACATCTGATGACAGCAAAAACCAAAAAATGACCTTATGTCTCATCTCAGGGCCACTTCACAGAAATGAAATTTAATATAAATACAGTTATTAAAAAATTGTAAGTTGACTTTGAACACTTATATAGTCAGTACTTCCTAAAAAATAGCATGTTTTAAATAGCTGGTAGGGGTGAGCTTACTCAACAATTTAACCATGTTGCCAAACATGTATATGATATACGCCTTAAGCTATTCTACACAGTCACACTTGTAAGTATATTCACAATCAAATACTTTGCCAAGTAAGATTTTTCTGAAGGCAGGTTTTTAGGTTTTGGTCAGGTTTGCAGGAATAGTAGGCCGTTTAAACATTGGCTTGGCCTCTCTCACATACTCTATCTAGCAAGAGGCTGATTACATCAGGATCAAAAATACCAGATGAAGCTGAATACCATCCCAACATTGACACCACCTATTATCAAGTTAGGCGATACCCGTACAGTTCCTCCCTGCCATCCATCACCCTCTGACTCGCCAATCCTTCCACTCATCGGATACTACGCTATATGCTTCCTAGGAAATGGAATGACTAGAGACCAAATTCAGCACCAGTCTAATTTTGGAAACAAACCAATTTATTTCGGCAAGCAGCAGGTCTCGTAAGCCACCTGAGGTAGGGCACCCCCAGTGACAGTCTTGCCAGAGAAGGTTGTGATATGCCCAGAGGTACCTATCCTTTCCCCCATGCCCTTCCTCATTGTTGGCCTTTTCAATCCACAGGCCTTTTCCACCTGGCAGACCAAACTGTGCCATTGATTTGACATGCTGTGACAGTTTTGTTTTTTTTTCTAAAATCTGCTTTTCAATCCAAGGGATTTAAAAATGCTTTTTATCATGCTTTCTCTCCCACGTGCATTTGATTTCAAAACCGTGACACCTTCCTGTGTCACTGTCCAGAATTTAACAGTGCTCCTGACAGTGCTATGAATGCCTACACCAAAGGAGCACCTGGATCTCTCTCCTGCTGTTGCAAGAGTAAGCAAGCACCTCTCTCCCCAGCAACGAGAGAAATCAATACACGCGTATCAGTCTGAGATGCTAGTGAAAAATATCCCACAAACCTCATTTCTTTGCGGTAAACCATATACGTAGTTACGATTAAAAGAATCTTAAAAACTATCCAGATAAAGACAAAGTCAACCTTAGGGAAATCATAAGGAACATGACTATGATCCCCAACTATGTGTTTTTCCATGTGCTGCCTCAGACAAGGAAGTGGGCTGAGGAACCTGCCAGTATACCATGCTGGTGTGAAAACTGTGTTTGTAGACTGAAATTGCACACCATAATTAAGAAGGAAAAAAAAAAATGTAATTTTAAGATAACTTTACCATAGCTGTTTAACATTAGAAAACTCAGTCAAAGAGTTGCAGTAATTAGAAACAAGGCAGTTATGTGCAGCAGCAGTTTATTTTACATAAAAGTAACCAAAAAAAAAAAAAAATTCTCTCCTCTTCTTCACTTGTTGAAATTTCATGCTTTTGACAATGCTACAGAAAGTGCTGGGCTTCACTGTTTGCCGACTGAAAAAAGTCGTCTTCTTTTGTTTGC